AAGCTGGAAAAGGCACGAAAAGTCTCTATAGCAGCGGTTCTCAACCTGTGGGTCGCAATCCCTTTGGGGGTCGAATGACCCTTTCACAGGGGTCGCAGAATTACATACTGTTTTTGTGATTAATCACTACGCTTTAACTATGTTCAGTTTGTAACAATGAAAATACATCCTGCATATCAGATATTTACATGACGATTCATAGCAGTAGCCAAATTACAGTTATGAAGTAGCAACGAAAATAGTTTTATGGTTGGGGGTCACCACAACATGAGGAACTGTATTAAAGGGTCGCAGCATTAGGAAGGTTGAGAACCACTGCTCTAGAACCTCCAGAAGAAAAGCTGCCCTTCCCATACCTTGATGCTAGCCTATTTTGGACTTCTGACCTCTCGACCTTTAAGATAATAAATTTGTGTTGTAGTAAATTTTTAATAATTTGTTACTACAGCAATAAGAAACGAATACAGCTGGGTTGTTCTTCTGAGTTCTTGCCTGGTTAGCAGTAACACCTTCCAAGAAAACATTGCCTAGCTTTAAGTTGTTTAAAGTTTATTTTTTCTGCTTTTGCTAAAAAAAGCACTTGACTCCAATTCCGAGTCTCCCTTTCCATCCTCACCCTCCTCTTCCTCAAAACATCAATCTGGCAATACAACTATACCAAAGTACTGACTCATAATTGGTGCCCTTATTTGCTAGGAGATGAAAAGAATTGATATTTTAAATGATGGCCTTTGCTGTTTTCTGCCAGTCTGCTTGCCAACAATAGAAACTGCTTCTAGTGTCTATGGTCCAAGACATCTTCTCCACCCAAAAGATCCCCAGGAGAGAACCAAAGCAATGGAAAGCATGGGTAGAGCAAGCACATGCAAATTCACATGAGCTCCTCTCATTAAACTACTCATGTGGAGGAATAATGAGTCTTTTCAGCCTTAGGAAACTCCATGTTCTATTTATGCTGATGTTTTTGTTTTGCCATTTAAAAAAAAGTTTTTATTGATTTTAGAGAGAGAGGAAGGGGGAGGGAGGGAGAGAGAGAGAAACATTGATGTGAAAGAGTAACAGCAATTGGTTGCCTCCACACACACACACCCCGACCAGGGATCAAACCCGCAACCTGGGTATGTTGCCCTGACTGGGAATCGAACTGGTGACCTTTCAGTGCACGGGATGACATTCAAACCAACTGATCCACACTGGCCAGGACGTGGCTTTTTTAAAAGGTCATTTCTGTTGCTGTCTGGAAATGGTTATCGGGTCTACCAGCAAGCCCAGTTTGACCTTTATGTTCATCAGATAAGATGTCCATGGCAGGATGGAACCAGTTCTCTTCAGCAAATTCACTATAAAGCTTTGTTCTTAACAATGTTTACAGGGGGCAGAACTCTCTTAGTTGCTATTTTGGGTCAGTTCCACCACAGAGGAGGAACCTTGTAATTTTACAGAAGAGCCAGACTCCCGCCCACCTTCACCCCACAGTCCTTATCAGCTGCTGAGAGATTACAGATGATTCAGGCCAAGCTGACTGGCTTAGGTTCCAGTCCAATCAAAGGACCAGCTACTGCCAGTCATGCAGAGTCTACAACAGCACACTGCTCTCATTCACATGCAACTCCTTGGGCTTGAAAGATACCAGAATGCATGGACATCTTCTCCCCCGTCCTCCTACCCCTCATACTAAACATTCACTTTGTTTTTTGAGGTATCAGCTTAAATATCACCTTAGAGAAAACTGACATTCCACCTACTTAGGGCTTCATGATTTAGAATATAATCATTACTTTCTCCCATTTCTTCCACTCACTCTAACTCATCCCCAAATCAACACGCATTTATTTATACCAGACACTTTGCTCAGCCCTGGACCTCCTCCAGTGGTGAGCAAACGTCAAGAAATTCTCTACCTTGTGCAGCTTCCATTTTGGTGAGAAATAAAAATATAATTCAACTAAACACACAAATAAATGTCCATATATCAACAGATACACTGAAAGCATAGTTTAAATAACAGCAGCAGGAACAAAAATAATCTTCCAGACTACAAAGGAAGACACACAGAAATAAAAAATGGAATACGCATGGTATTATACATGGTAAGATTGAGACAGAAGAGTGGTACAGTTATATTTGGATGAATGTTAAAAATGTAAGTATGTAATTAGAACATAAGAAAGCTACTAATTCCACTAAGTCTACTCCATTCTTTTCTTGAATAAAGATGGCAAAAGGGTTAAGTACTCAGATAGAAAGATAAGAAGTCCAGCTATCCATAAAAAAAAAAATTCTCAGGTCTTTAAATTCCAGTTCTATCTCTTTCCAGCCTCAATAAGTGGGCTTAGACAAGCAACTTAGCTTTCCTGAGCCTTGGGGTCACTACGTATATAAGTTATACAGTCCTTCTCATGAGTTGGTTGAGACCTTAAAAAGAGATATACAAGAAAGTCCTTAGAAAAGTGTCTGATATACATGGGAGCTTTCAACACTCTGTTGCTGGATCTGGATATGAGTGGATAGGTCACAAATAGGATTGTAGAGTGAAACAGCAACATTCCTGTTTTTCAACAACACCCTACCAGCAATGAGTATACCTCCTGCCCAGATTTCGGTTTCTAATACCATTTGACAATGGAAGAAACCAGGGATTCTTTGGAGTTATGGCTGATTCTGGGACCAGAGCAGAAAATATACAAGATCAGTGTGGAACACTTTGTGATGTGAGAAAGAAAAGCAATGTTGAAAACGTGTGTGTGTGTGTGTGTGTGTGTGTGTGTGTGTGTGTGTGTGTGGTGGGGATATCTCAAAGGGACATAAGGAACCAACTGAAAAAACTCAATGCCAAAGCTGAAATAACCTGAGCACTAAAATAAATAAAGCAGTATTGGACTATAATCCAAAGAATAAAATAAATGTTCATGAGTGCATACTGATATAAAAAATGAATGAATGAATGAATGAATGAATGAATGTGGAAGGGATAGACACATCTCCCAAGGAGAATTCCAATAATTTATGGAGATACTCCATCCTCAAGGATGTGGACCATAACTCTTCTTCCTTAAAGTGTGATTTGTACCTAATGACTTTCCTTTTAAAAAAAATACAGCGTGAAAGGGAAAAAAAAAGAAATAACCTGTGGACAAAGCTGCTATATATTACCTCATCCAGGTGATGAAGGTTAACAATAACAATGATAAGTCATATTCATGGTATAGGGTGTCCCAAAAAATGTATATACATGTTTGTTTATTTTTTGATAGCTCAATTGATGTTTATTTCTTTTCAGATTTAACCCATGGAATGAATAATTATTCAAAGTGCGTATACATTTCTTGAGGACACCCTGTATGTACCCTTAGAGTAATATGATGAAAATGCCACTTTACATCTGTGACCTTCCTCCAAAACAACAACACAACCCAAAACCCCCACAACCATTAAGGCTAGTTCTAAGAAAAACAACAGAGAAATACCAATTGAGGGACATTTTACAAAATACTTCACATAAGAAACAAGGGAAGTCTGAGCCTAAGGAGACATGACTACTGCATGTAATATGGTATCCTGGATGAAATCCTGGGACAACAACAAAAAGACATTAGGTAAGAATATAGGAAATATAGGTGTGCACTTTAGTTAATAATGATATATTAATATTGGTTCATTAATTGTGACAAATGTATCATACTAATGTAAAATGTTAGCAATAGGGGAAAGTAGGTGTTGTATAATAGTAATTCTCTATACTATCTTAGCAATTTCTCTTTAAACCTAAATTGTTATAAATTTTAAAAGTGTATGTGAAAAAGACAAAGAAAAGAAGACATTCTTGCAATGCCAGGCCTTTGGGCGTCCCAGGAACAAGATAGAAAAGACCCCACACACCTCCACATTCATTCCCTGTAGGAATCAGCGTTAAAGGGGCCAAAGTGTGAGATTTACCCAGCGCTTGAGGAAGAGGTAACCCTGCTCATCCATCCAAGCCTGTGTTGGTTGTTTCTTGGCTACAATCGCAGATTTGGGGTGTATCCTTTCCATTCTGATGACTGAATAAGAATAGCACACGGAGACCGTTTTCTCTGCTGTTAACTAGTGACAATTCTACACTAGAGTCACAGTCTGTTTTCTTTGAAATTTAGGATGGTCCACGGAAACACAACTTTCTCAGCAGTCTCATTACAGTTCCTCCAGCCTGACTCTGCTGCCTTTCAGCATTAGTGCATTTTGTTTCTCTGTGTCTTCAAAGTAACACCACTTGATATTGCAAAATGATATCCTGGTTTGATTGTGAGGCTTGGCTTCCCTGGTGTGACTTCTATCATATAAGTCAGCATGGGCCCCATTTACTGAGACCACCTGCACCTCCTCCCTCTCTAAGGGCCAGAGCTCCCATCACACTCAGCTGAGCAATACTCACTTCGGCAATAAGAGCGTGAGAAAAAGTCATCGCATTATGGTATTAGAAGCTCATCTGGCAGGTTATTTTAAATAGTCTCTTACCAGAACTTGAATAGCAACAATAATTTATTCTATTTAAAAAAAGAAAAAGAAAAAAGAAGAGGAAAGAAAAATGACCAAAAGGAAAAAAAACAAACAAACACGAAAGAAAAAGGACTTCATTGCTGAAGTGCTTAAGATCCAGTGTCATTTCCTCCATTTTCCTAAAAAGTTAACGGGAAGGAAACAAAATAGGAAACGTCCCCAGGACTTAAAATCTCATGAACCTAGAATCCTTGAAAATCCTGTTTAGAACCATCCCGTGAAAGCGGCTTTGGGACACGTCCCTCCCGTCTACCCGCCACTCCACCAACCCTTCAGCCCTGCTCAGCCTCTTTCTTTGTTTCTTTTCTTTTCTTTCTTTCTTTCTCTCTTTTCTTTTTTATTGCTTAAAGTATTACAAAGAGTATTACATATGTCTCCTCCCCCCCTTGACATTCGGCCTCTTTCTAACAACCGTCCCCTCCGACGTCCCCTGGAGGGCGCAGAGCTGGCGGGGCCCCCAGCCCAGCCCGCACTGAATGGAGATGTGCAGGTGCAGAGGACACAAGTAATTGGGGCGCAGCAGCCGGGACCTCCGCTCACCCCAGCCCCACGCGTGCCCCGCACATCCCGGCACGGCGCGGACCCTCGGGAGCCCCGGACACGCTCTCACGGCCCCCTCCTCCCAGACTTGGTGTGGCCGGCGCCTGCCTGCGAGCGATGCCATCTTGGGATCCCAGCATCTTACAAGTAGCTGCCGAGCTCTGCATTCCGACCACGTCCCCGGGGCTGGGAAAACTCAACCCAACTTTGCCAGAGGGGAGAGAACCGGCTGGGGCGGACCCTCACGCTCTCTAACGGGAACGGACTGCATCGGATGCTACTGACCGTAAGCCCGAGTCCTCGGGCCCCCGCGCCCGCCCGCCCGTCCGCCCGCACCCCCGATTCCAGGCCCGCAGGGTGCCCGGTCCGATGCCCCGCGGCGCCCCCGCGCCCCAGGTCGGAGACGGCCCTGCACCGGCGTCGCGTCCCTGGCGGGAGGGTTCGAGGGCGAGCGCAGGCACCCGAGTCACTCACAGCCCAGGGCGACCACCAGGTAGCGCAGCAGCAGCAGGAGGTAGCGGCGGCTCCTCCTCGCCATGTTCGCGGGGACCGAGGTGGCTGCTCCCGGAGGCGGAGGGTCCCGGCGGCCGGAGCGCGGGAGGCCGAGCGGGGACCCCTGAACTTCTGGGGCGGGAGAGGAGAGGCTCCCGGAGCCGTGGGAGGGGCGGGGAGGGGAAGGGATGGGAGGGAGGGGCCAACGCAGATGCGACGTCAGTTTCTCCCAGCCTGGGGCGCCCTCTGCGCTGGCTGCCCCTGGCCGGTCTTCCCCAGCCCTGGGATGGGGGATCGGGGCCTTTCTTTCTTGGGGGGTTAGCGGGTGGGTGAGAGGGGTGGGCCGTGGAAGCCGGAGGAGGTGTGGGCCGGGTCCTAAGGAGGGAGCGGGGGGAAGCGAGGAGCGGAGGGGAAGCGGCGGAGGGTCGCCCCCACCCCCGCCGCCGGGATTGATCGGCTTTGTGTCTGGTCCTGCGCCCACGGCCAGCTGTCCCGCAGGCGGGAGCCCGGGCGGGAGGTGCGGGCCCCGAGGCGGGTGGGGCACGCCGGCCTGGCTCCGTCTCCTCTCTTGCCCCCTTTGCCGCAAAACTTTTGGGGTTTGCAGCCTAGAGGTGGAGAGATTTGGGAGATTTCTGGCGTGGAGAGAAGCAGCCGAAGAGGCGTCCGGGGAGATGGGGTTCGCCTGCCCCGCCTGGGACGCGAGGGTTAAAAAAAAGCAATAAGATAGGAGGGTAAAAAAGCAATAAGATAGGAGGGTAAAAAAGCAATCAAGGTTGGTGCTGGAGGGCCGGTCTCCGATTTGAGCAATAGCTCTGGCCCCTGCTCAGTGGGAGCCGTTTGCTCCACGGAGAGCTAAGGTGTGTTTTGTGTCCTTAGCTTTTCACGTGTCGGAGTTGGAAGTTCATCCAAAAGCGTGAAATAGTTAGCATGTTCCTTGTTACATAACGGCCGCCTGTGGAGTTTTCCACATGTTCGAACTCCACAGCTGCCCTTTCTCAGGTTTATTTTTGGTCTACCGTGCTTTTAAAAGGGAAACCCATTATGCATGCTCTGTTGCATGCTTTAAAATGGACCCTACCTTATATTGCCCACGCCACAAGGCTAAACAGGCAATTTTTATATTTGCTCCTAAGGCACCAAAAAATGTCTGGTCCGTTTAAGATTACCGACAGGTCTGGAAAAAGGCCATTGCCAGGAAGAAATGGGTAGGCATCTACTTTTTTGGGACACATTTTTTTTAAAAGGTAAAATAATGGGCAAAGTTCTGTGTAGAGGACGGTTGACTTAGGGGTGTGCACACAAAGAATGTAGCTAGTAGCTCAGTGGACAAAGGCAACCAGAGTGTAGCTGTGCAGAGCTGTGAGGAAGGAGGCATCGCTGCTGTTTCCTTGGTGACAGTGACTGAAGCTTAGTGCCCAGAAAGGAAAGTCAAAGGGGCCAAAATGGCCCTGGCCAGTGTGGCTCAGTTGGTTGGAGCGTGGTCCCAGGCACCAAAAGGTGGAGGGTTCGATTCCGGTCTGGGCACATACCCAGGTTTTGGGCATGTGCAGGAGGCAACAGATCAATGTTTCTCACACACTGATGTTTTTATTTTTTTTCTCTCTCCCTCCCATCCTCTCTAATAATTTATATACATAAAAGACTAATAAGCAAAGTGTCCCCTTGGGAGTTCAATCGCTCACTATGATGTGATCTGACCACCAGGGGGTGGTGGCACAGAATGAGGGAAGGCCCTGATGGGCCCTGATAGACGGCCAGGCCTAGGGACCTTACCCGTGTACAAATTTTGTGCACCAGGCCTCTAGTAGTAGTAGTAGTAGTAATAGTAATAGTAATAATAATAATGATAATGATTAATAATAAAAAGGAAGAAAACTTATCAATAAAAATTTTTTTTAAGTGGCAAAAATGTTAGAGTTCATACTGCAGTCAAGTAAAGAGAAGGGGCACAGATCTAACCAGAGACTCACTCCAGTTTTACTCCAGTTTTTCTGGGCACTAACAAGAAATGTGGTAGGCAGTTAGAGAGACATGCGCAGAGCAAGGACGATGGGCCAAGTGCAGAAGGCCACCAGGGTGGAAAGCCCTGGGTGACTAGCAAAGGGCACTTGTAGGGTGGGGCCTGGTCCCAAGGGTGACCTTTTCTCCCCTAGCATATAGATGGTCATGCCGTTTGGATCCCTGACCTTTCCTCCCTAGAGATAGCATCTAGGCCTCAGCTGTATTTCAGCTCCAGACCCAGAAAAGCAGCAAAACCAGACAAGTGACCCCATGGCTGCCCTCAGGACCAGCTGCACTGACTAATGACCCCCTGCCCTGGTGCTGACCAATCAGTGGAGACCCAGACCCTGAAAGGACACACCTGGAAAGCTGCTGAACATTCTATCGTGATCTTCCCCTGGGACCTCCCCTAAAAGCTCCACCCTCAAAACCCTTAGGACCCAGTGCACTCTGCCTTCTAGGAGAACCCTCACCCCTAAGGCTTTATCTTCCCCCTCCCCCTGAACTTCTGGGGGTGCCAAGCTCCAAGGGCCCTTGCTTTACCTCTATAACTTGTTTCCTAAACCCATTTCTTCAACAGATTACTTCTTCTGTCTCTGAGATTGTCCAAATAAATGTTCTCTTATAGTTTGAGTCTTGGTTCTGAATTCTTTCCTAGCCGGAACTTAAGTACGGAGGTTGCTGAACGCAGGTCCTGCCTGACCCCACCCGTCTAACACCTGGTGCCCTTCCACCATCCACAATAGAAAGATGCTATGTCTCGTAAGAAAAGTTGTTGGCATCCTCTTTTCTTATTCTTGCCACAACTCTATATCTCTTTTGTTCCTCCCTACACACACACACACACACACACACACACACACACACACAAAGACATATTTTAAAATATTCTGTGACGAACTGTGTGAATAACTGATTCACTTGGTTATGTATTTGTCAAGGCATTTGTCAAATGGCTACCATGTGCCGGATGCTGGTGGACAATGATGAACAAGACCGTGTCTTTGCTGCTAACAAGCTCATAGTCTTGAGGAGAGAGAGAGCCCCATCTGGGAAGACGTCTCTTACCACATGGTAAGTGCTACAGGAGGACAGAAAATAATGACAGCTGTTTTTTTATTTTTTATTTTATTTTTTTTTAAATATATTTTTATTGATTTTTTACAGAGAGGAAGGGATAGAGATAGAGAGTTAGAAACATCGATGAGAGAGAAACATCGATCAGCTGCCTCCTGCACATCTCCTACTGGGGATGTGCCCGCAACCAAGGTACATGCCCTTGACCGGAATCGAACCTGGGACCTTTCAGTCCGCAGGCCGACGCTCTATCCACTGAGCCAAACCGGTTTCGGCAGCTGTTTTTTATTGAGTGCTTTTTCAATGGGGGAGTCAGAATAGTGCAATACACAATGCCCCAACAACTCAGGGAGGGAGAAAATGTTATCATTCTCACTTTGTAGAAGAGAAAACTGGGCTGAGAGATGCTAAATTCGTAACTGCACAGAAACCTTATTTTCTTTAATCTGGCCTTTTATTTTGATTTTTTCCCTTTAACTCAAACTGGCCTCACCCAGCTCCCTGACTCACCCAGCTCCCTCTCCCTTGCTTAATCGTTAAGCCTTCAGGACAGTGAGGTTATGGTCAGCCTCCAGTAGTCTTAGAAACAAGGACCTGGGTCTATTGACTACAGAGACAGAGTTTCAGTCAAACTAAAGACAATATCTTGGCCTCAGTTGTGTTTTAGCTCTGGACAGGAAATCAGAATGATGCCACAGAATAAATCCTTGTGAAACTGGACAGAGCAACTCCATGGCTGACACCAGGACCATATGCAATGATCAATTACTCCCTACCCTAGCACCAACCAATCAATAGAGACCACCACCCTAACTCCTTTAGTCACCATAATTAATTATTTTTTCCCTATATAGTCCATCCCTGGAAGCCATGGGGAAGCCAGGTCTTTGAGCATGAGTTATCTGTGACTGGGCTTGGTACCATCCCTTAATAAATCCTTACTTTCTTGTCTGCAAATTCCTGTTCGTGTCTTATTGGGCTTTGTGCATGCAGCAAATGGGCCCTTTTAGTCCTCTTTAGTCCTGTAACAATGGCTTGTTCAAGGTCAAGGATAAGAGTGTGTCTTTATGTTGGGGTTTAGGAAACCCTTAGGATTTTTCTTTTTTTTTAAATTAAATCTTTATTGTTCAGATTATTACATTTGTTCCTCTTTTTTCCCCCCATAACTCCCCTCCTCCCAGTTCCCGCCCGACCCTCCGCCCTCACTCCCCACCCACTGCCCTCATCCATAGGTGCATGATTTTTGTCCAGTCTCTTCCCCCATCTCCCACACCCCTTTCCCCCCCAATAACAGTCAGTCCATTCCCTTTCTATGTCCCTGATTCTATTATGATCACCAGATTATTTATTCACTTGATTCTTAGATTCACTTGTTGATAGATGCATAGATGCATGTTTGTTGTTCATAATTTGTATCTTTACCTTTTTCTTCTTCTTCCTCTTCTTAAAGGATACCCTTCAGCATTTCGTATAATACTGGTTTGGTGGTGATGAACTCCTTTAGCTTTTCCTTATCTGTGAAGCTCTTTATCTGACCTTCAGTTCTGAATGATAGCTTTGTTGGATAAAGTAATCTTGGTTGTAGGTTCCTGGTATTCATCACTTTGAATATTTCTTGCCACTCCCTTCTGGCCTGCAAAGTTTCTGTTGAGAAATCAGCTGACAGTCGTATGGGTATTCCCTTGTAGGTAACTGAGTTTCTTTGTCTTGCTGCTTTTAAGATTCTCTCTTTGTCTTTTGCTCTTGGCATTTTAATTATGATGTGTTTTGGTGTGGTCCTCTTTGGATTCCTTTTGTTTGGGGTTCTCTGCGCTTCCTGGACCTGTAAGTCTATTTCTTTCACCAGGTGGGGGAAGTTTTCTGTCATTATTTCTTCAAATAGGTTTTCAATATCTTGGTCTCTCTCATCTTCTGGCACCCCTATAATTCTGATGTTGGTATGCTTGAAGCTGTCCCAGAGGCTCCTTACACTATCTTCGTATTTTCGGATTCTTTTTTCATTTTGCTTTTCTGGTTGGGTGTTTTTTGCTTCTTCGCATTTCAAATCTTTGCCTTGATTCTTGCGCTCCTCTGGTCTGCTGTTGGGAGTCTGTATAGTATTCGTTATTTCAGTCCGTGTATGCTTAATTTCTAGTTGGTTCTTTATCATAACATCGAGGGTCTCATTAGTTTTCTTGAGGATCTCACTACATTTATCAGCGGCTTCTAGACAGTTCTTAAGAGACCTTAAAAGTGTGGTTCTGAACTCAATATCCTCCATTGACAGTTTTGTCCTGTTTCGTTGTCTCCGCATTTTTTATGCTTTCTTGGTGCACCCCCTAGTGGTCTTTGTGCGCAGTCTTGTTGTAGTTAAGCCTTGATTGTTGTCGGCAATACCGGGGGTGATTTGGCCTCCAGGATAACTGGCTATGAGAGTCCGCTGTGTCTGCAGTGGGAGAGCTTCTGTGCTGGATCTCTAGGGCGGTGCTAATCTAGCGTTTGCCTGAGGCTATCCGGCAAATGGCTCTGTGCAGGGCTTGGGCGGGGCGGGTCCCCGGGGATCTACAGGGCGGGCCGGAGCGAGCAGTTATGGCTGCTCTCAGTTCCGTCCCCAGAGGCTCTGCCTCACAGAGTCCCAGCAACCGCAGCAAACCTCGGAGAGAAAGCTGCCTTCGAGTTCCGACCGAAGCCAGACAGTCCCGCTTCTCCCATTTGAGTCTGGGTCCCTAGAGACTCGCCCGGATCTGGATCTCAGAGTCTGAAACTCCCTCCCGATTGAAAACAACAACCGCGCCCTCCACCGCCAGCCCGCTCCTCGTGCACTCCGCACCTGAGTATTTCACTTCAGCACTGCGCCTCCTCTGAGTCTGGGTATGATATTCTCTTTCCTCCTAGTTGTAGAATTTCCACTCAGCCAGCCTTCCTGTGGTTCTGGATGATGTACGTTCTGTCGTTTAGTTGTTTTTTGAAGTGGTTGTTCGAGGCAGCAATCTCCGGCGTTAACCTATGCTGCCATCTTGGTTTCTCTAAACCTGAAACCCTTAGGATTGACTAAAGAAATAAGTGTGAATATCATCAGCATCTCCTAGAACAGTGATCACCAAGGTTTTCCGCTCCTCAGAATCGCCTGCAATCCTTAAATATGATTCCCTGCTTAAAATTATGTTAAAATTCTGAGTCCCAGAAGTTTCAGTCTCGGGGGCACCTATGAACCTGTATATCTAATAAACACCCTGACTGATTCTGATGCTGCTAGTCCATGGACTGGTATTTGAGGACTTTTCTAGAAGACAGGAGAGTGAATAAATGAGAACAATCAGGATAAAAGTAAATATTTAGCTAGAGATAAATCTAAGGAAATAAATGCAGTAAGAGGTAGGAAAAAGACCTCTTGGGCGGGGGGAGGAAAATTTAGACACAGTCCTTACACACTTCACAAAACTGAACTCAACATGGATCACAGATCCAGAACTAAAAAAAAAATCCTATATAAAAATCCTAGAAGATAACAGAGGAGAAAAATCCAGGTGACCTTGGGTTTGTTGATAACTTTTTAAAAAAATTATTTATTTATTTTAAAATCCTCACCTGAGGATGTTTTTATTGATCTTTAGGAGAGAGAGAGAGGGAGAGAGGAAGAGAGGATGGGATGACCCCCACAACTGATCCCTACCAGGCAGGGCTACAAAGAAGTCTTAAAACTCTACAATAAGGAAAAAAAACAACCTGTTTAAATAATACGTCAAAGATCTTAACAGACACTTTACCAAAGAATATGGCAAATAAGCACATGAAAAGATGCTCCATATGTCATCAGGAAAATGCAAATTAAAACAACATTGAGCCCTGGCCCATGTGGCTCAGTTGGTTGAGCCTTGTTCCACGCACCAAGAGACCTCCAGTTTGATTACTGGTCAGGGCACATGTGGAGGCAGGGAGAATATGGGAAATCTTTGTACCTTCTGCTTAATTTTGCTGTGAACCTAAAACTGCTCTAACAATTAAAGCCGCGGTTCTCAACCTGTGGGTCGCGACCCCGTTGGGGGTCGAACGACCCTTTCACAGGGGTCGCCTAAGACCATCGGAAAACACATATATAATTACATATTGTTTTTGTGATTAATCACTATGCTTTCATTATGTTCAATTTGTAACAATGAAGTTGGGGGTCACCACAACATGAGGAACTGTATTAAAGGGTCGCGGCATTAGAAGGTTGAGAACCACTGAATTAAAGTCTAATAACACAATTGAAACAAATAAAAAGAAGACCTATAGAAAGAACACAAGAAAGAGAAGTTTAAAAAGTATGAGAGGAACTGGGGGAGAATCAGGAACCACATGTGTAGGTCTTTATAGTGTCAAATGCTAAGAGAAAAAAAGGATTGAGAATTATCTTCTGCATTTAATCATTGTGAGGGCATTGACCACTTGTCTTAGACAATAGAGAAAGCAAGCCTTAAATCAACTTGCAGAAAGAATTCACAGACATGTGTTGTTTAGTTAATAAAGTATCAAACTAGTGCAAAAGATAAAAACAATGAAATGATGACAAACAGCCGCAGGACGGTGAGGAGAACAGCAATAGTTGATTCTGCTTCCTGAATGAATGGTTGGAAGTGGGTTTCACGACTGTTCTGCTTCTAAGAATCCCTAGCCTGGGGGCCTGGGATAAGTCTGTCCTGGTCTCCATGATGATGCTGTCCTTCCCCCGCCTGCACATGTCATAATCGCTTTCCTCTGACACTAAAAGTAGTTTTGTCAGGTGAACATACACAGGGACTTGGTGCTTTAGGACATCTTACCATTATTTATTCTTTCCACCCATTCTAATTGTGAATTTGCAGTTATGTTCCAAGCACCTTGCCTCAAAGAAGCAACACAGAGAAGGGCTGGGTTTAAATTAAGTGACTCCTCGCAGCATTTTAGATCTGGTATTTCTGTGTTGGATGGGTTATTTTTTCTCATGGGTGTGGAGAAAAAGTGTGCCCACACACTGCAATTTAGAGACAAGGGAAAAAAAATCTTCCATTTTCAAAACCACATAATTCCCAAGTGTCTCTCATGTAAATTTTTAACTCCTATGGATAGAACTTAAGGTCTTTAACTAATGAGATCCTCATTACTCACTTATCCCTCATCATTACTTCCTCCGATCATTTTCTGGAATAAGCCTGGTTTCAACATTCCATTCCGATGTGCCCACACGCACATTTCTGCTTGCGCTCAAACTACAGTTCTTTCCAGAATAAGTAAACCTCTTCAGAGAAGCTCACGGTGTCCCCAGCCTGTAGCCTTTGCTACTCTCCCAAAGGGACATCTTTCTTCGAGTACATTATAACAATTCTGTGCTCAAAACTTCCTTCCAAGAAGAAGAAAAGAAAAGAAGCTTTGCCCAGCCGTGGCTCAGTGATTGAACGTTGACCGTTGAACCAGTAGGTCATGGTTTAATTCTCGGTCAGGGCACATGCCCGGGTTGCAGGCTCATCCCCAGTGGGGGGCATGCAGGAGGCAGCCAGTCAATAATTCTCTCTCATCATTGATGTTTCTATCTCTCCCTCTCCCTCTCCCTCCTTCTCTGAAATCAATAAAATATTGAAAAAACAAAAGGAAAGAAAATTAGCCTCACCTGGTTCTAATTACTACAAGCATGAACTTATCTCCTTTCACGTTCTCTTTGTCTAGATTACTCAACATTACTAAGGTGATTCTACCTGCCAATTAAGTGGCGTTCACCAGTGATCAATAAATTAATTGTTAATGTTCTCTTTATTTATTTATTTATTTTTTAAATATATTTTATTGATTTTTTACAGAGAGGAAGGGAGAGAGACAGAGAGTCAGAAACATCGATGAGAGAGAAACACCGATCAGCTGCCTCCTGCACATCCCCCACTGGGGATATGCCCGCAACCCAGGCACATGCCCCCGACCGGAATCGAACCTGGGACCCCTCAGTCCGCAGACCAACGCTCCATCCACTGAGCCAAACCGGTTTCGGCGTTCTCTTTATTTTTTAAAGCGCAGTTACTATTGACTTAATAGTTGTTGTTTTTTTGTTGAATGACAATTAGAAATTTCATAGGGATTTAGATAATATGAAAATGATTTTAATTTTTTTATTTTATTTTTTTTATATATATTTTTTATTGATTTTTTACAGAGAGGAAGGGAGAGAGATAGAGAGTTAGAAACATCGATGAGAGAGAAACATCGATCAGCTGCCTCCTGCACATCTCCTACTGGGGATGTGCCTGCAACCCAGGTACATGCCCTTGACCGGAATCGAACCTGGGACCTTTCAGTCCGCAAGCCGACGCTCTATCCACTGAGCCAAACCGGTTTCGGCTGAAAATGATTTTTAAAATGGAATTTACTTGGGGGAGGAGCTAGCATTTAACGAACATTTGCCAGGAGCAAACGAAGGATGGACAGGCACCAATTAGTCTACCAGCACAGAATCATAACAACGGAAATGTGGAGAGAACTTGGAGGCAATCTCTAACTCCATGCCCTTCTTACATAACCCCACCCCTCATTTCAGAGTTAAGGATGATAAGGCCAAAATGGGGAAATGACTTACTCAAGATCACACAGCAAGGTAAGAAAAGCGCAGGCCTGGAATGAACCCTAGCTATGTCTTTCCTGGGCAGTCCCCAGGGTAGATCTCTCTACATTGTCTCGGAATGGATTTGCCATCTCATATAGAACTTGACCCAAGTTAGAATTATCCTCCCTGTCCCTCCAGAGATCCCTTGCCAAGGACAACTACACTTAATAAATGCCCTTAATTCTGGAGGGAGTGAGGAGAGCAAGAACGCTCTGTTGGGTTGCAGGGAGTTCTGCCACCTAACTCAACATCTGGGATCTGGGGTGCTATCGCCTGGATGAGAGGATGCTGAAAGATTTGCGATTCTGTGATTCTTCCATTGGGTCACTGCTCCTCAGAACACTACTAAAGATAGTGATGATATTAAACATGAACACTTATTAAGTACTATATGCCTGGCACTGTGCACAGCTCTTACAGGCATTATCTAAAAAACAACTTTGTGAGGTGAGATGGTGCTATTGATTATCTTACAGATGAGAACAAAGGCTTCGAAAAGCTCAGCCCCTGACCCAGGACTAGGCATCTATAAAATAACTGAGCCAGGTTTAAACGCAGGTTTGTCTGATTTCCAAGACTCACTGAGGTATCAGAAAAGATGGACTCCCATGAAATGTTTCTTTCCCTTCTAGGAAAAAGAAAAAGCCACCCTGAATGTTGGCAGTTGATCTCTATAATGGCCAAGTCATACTCGTTTGTTTGACACTTGATGTTTTGACAATCTCTCCACATGCATTTTCTCTTTGGATCTCTGCAACAACCCAGGGAGGAAGCTTGGGAAAGGTGAGAGGATGCATGTTTTAATAACCCTATCTATGACTGACAGATATCGCTAAGTACTTGATAAACTCCAGATGCCAAATCAAGAATCTCATTTCTGCATGATCAATATTCGGTTGTTCTGAGTGGCCAGCTGGGTATAAAGCAGCCTGGGGATACGGGAAGCTGGTTTTGGGAGTCTGGCTGGCTGCGACTGGATCATATGTCTCTGTCTGGGTTTAAAGGCGACTCAGACTTGGTAACCTGTCCACATTGACAGTTAGTGATCCCAAACCACCGGGGATCATACCGTGACCTCCTGTTCATAGGTCAACGCTCAACCACTGAGCCATTCCAGCCGGGTGTGATCTGCCTTTCTTTAAACTTCAAATCCCTTTTCCCTGTTTTTTTTGTTTTTTTTTTTTTTAAATATATTTTATTGATTTTTTACAGAGAGGAAGAGAGAGGCATAGTTTAGAAACAACGATGACGCCCTGACCGGTTTGGCTCAGTGGATAGAGCGTCGGCCTGCAGACTGAAGGGTCCCAGGTTCGATTCCGGTTAAGGGCATATACCTTGGTTGCGGGCACATCCCCAATAGGGGGTGTGCAGGAAGCAGCTGATCAATGTTTCTCTCTCATTGATGTTTCTAACTCTCTATCCCTCTCCCTTCCTCTCTGTAAAAAATCAATAAAATATATTTAAAAAAAAAAAAAAAAAAAGAAACAACGATGAGAGAGAAACATCAATCAGCTGCCTCCTGCACTCCCCCTATCTGAGGATGTGTCCGCAACCAAGGTACATGCCCTTGACCAGAATCGAACCTGGGACCCTTGAGTCTGCAGGCCGATGCTCTATCCACTGAGCCAAACCGGTTAGGGCCCTTTTCCCTGTTTTTAGAACATCTGTTCCTAGATGCACCACTCCAAATCAATGAAATTTGATTTTTAAAATTTTTAATTAAAATCAAGTCTAAATTGAACTGATATCATCACCTCTCCACATATACCCCCCTCAATTTCTCCATATTCCCCCCCCACTCCTTCTCTTCCATCCTTTCTGTCTTCCATTAGCCAATATGAAATAAGCACCTACTATAGACCAGCCACTGGTTGGAGACATAATTGTGTGCAATCATAGGTAATGTGTCAACCTGGGGAGATGTAAGTGGGGGAGACAGACACCAATCAGACACAGCGAGCATGTGTACCAAGGGAGGTATTCATAAATTGCTTATCTAGTTGAGACCAGGGAAGGCTTCTCTCAGGGAGTGGCACTTAAGCTGAAATATAAAGGAACTAGGAGGCCCTAGCTGGTTTTGCTCAGTGGGTAGAGCGTCTTCCTGTGGACTGAAGGGTCCCCAGTTTGATTCCCATCAAGGGCACATGCCCAGGTTGTGGGCTCAATCCCCAGTGGGGGGTGTTAGGAAGCAGCCTATCAATGATTCTCTCTCATCATTGATGTTTCTATCTGTCTCCCTCTCCCTTCCTCCCTGAAATCAATAAAAATACTTAAAAAAATAAAGAAAGGAACTAGGAGGACATAGGTGGAAAGAACAGTCTACGAAAAGGGAACATTATGTGAAGACCTGGTGACAAGTACCAGAGAGCCCGAGTGGGCGAGTGGGGCTGTCGCACGAAGGTGGGGAGGGAGAATGACGGGGACTTTGGAATATAACCTTCAATGGCTTCCAGCAGCGTTTAGAATAAAAACAGAATATACGGTAGTTTCCACTTATCCACAACCTTTCCCCCCATATTTTCAGCTACCCTCAGTCCACTGTGGCCTGAAAATAGTAAATGGAAAATCCCAGAAATAAACAATTCGTACGTTTTATATTGTGTGCTGTTCTGAGTAATGTGGTGAAATCTCTCAGGATGTGAATCATCCCCTTGCCCAGAGTATCCAAACTGTATACACAACCCACCTGCTTGTTAGCCACTCCATGGCCACCTGGAGTATCAGATCAACTGTCTCAGGATGGTAGTGCTTGTGTCCAAGCACCTCTTATTTTACGTAATAATGGCCCCAAAGTGTAAGAGCATGGACGCTAGCAATTCAGATATGCCAAAGAGAAGCCATAAGGTGCTCCCTTTAAGTGAAAAGGTATATCTGTATAGGAAAAAGCATAGTATATATACAAGGTGCCCCCCCAAAATTGTGTACACACTTTAACAGCTCAGTTTTGAAAAAGAAATATAGTTTAATAACATTGCCTTTATAATTATTCAAAGTGTGTGTATACATTTGGGGGATATTTTTGGGATTATGGTTTGGTACTCTCTGAGGTATCAGGCATTCACTGGGGGTCTTGGAACGTATCCCCCGTGGATAAGGGGAGACTACTGTACATCAGGGCTTCATTTCTTTTTATTATTACACTCCCATGGGGCCTTGGCATACACTGTTCCCTCTTTGCACTTGGATCTCTATTCTTTTTTTTCCCCCTTAAGTACTATCTAGCACTTATTGAATATTTGCTATATATTAGGTACTATGCTAAGCACTTCTCATATTATCTCATTCACTCCTCATAACAATCATTAAATACATATACATTTCCATTTTACAGGCGAAGTTGATGGGACAGAGGGATTGCGTGACAGGCCTAGAATCACAGGAGCTGGTGAGCGGCAGAAAGCAGGTTGGAAGGGCACTTGGCTGACTCCAGACTCAATGTGCTTAGCTTGTGCACTGAACCTCTTCACCCGCATCTCATCTGGTCAAGGCCGACTTATCCTTCTGTCTTTGCTCAACTGCCATTTCTTTAGGAAATATCCCTGCTCTTCTGAATGGATCAAATCCTGCTATTGTCTGTTTTCACTACCCCCTTCCTCTCTGGCACCATCACTGGGATTTTATACTCAATTGATCACAATCAGTAACCAGTTGTTGACTGTTGACTCCAGGAAGTCAGGGCCCATCAAATTTTTAGCTCATTATTATATTTCTCTTTGCCTAATGAAGTGCTTGTCAGTTAGTAAATGCTCAATAATTATTTAGCTACTAATGAATATATAGATCTGTATATCTTTGACAAGAGTGTGATTATTCTGTACCTCTGCTGCTTCCTGCACAGCCCCAACTTGGGATTGAGCCCACAATCTGGGCATGTGCCCTAAGCTGGAATTGGACCATGACCCCTTGGTTCATAGGTTGACACTCAACCATTGAGCCATGCTAGTGGGCGGGAATAAAAGCTTTATACTACTCTGACCAACCCATGAAATGGAATTAGAAGAAAATATACGAATGAACTGGTGAAGGAACGGATACTGACAGTTTCCTTATAAGCATGTTACAGGCAGCAGCAGTTCCAGTTCCCCTTTTGCTGGCCTCGACCACAGGAGAACAGCAGGTGCCAATGGCTGGCCAGGCCTGCAACATCCTGTACCCAGAGATCATCATTGAAACTGGCAGAGAGAAAAACAAACAAACAAACAAAAAACAAACACCAGATGCTGACACACATGGAAGAGAATATCAAAACCACCTAATAGCTGGAATTCGAAACTGCATTCCACCAGAATTCCTTAGTTCCCCTCTCCCCACAAACCCCCTATTAAAGCCTTTTGCCTGCCCTGAGATGCGAAGGCATGAGCCTGCCAGCTTTTCAGGTGGTTACCTGAAGAAATCACTTTCCTTCCATCAGCACCTGTGTCCTGTGTTTGGCTTCACAGAGGCAGGCAAAAAAGCCCTGAGGGTCATTGGGGCTGGTTTCAATCCCATTCATGAGGGCTCAACCCTTATGATCTAATCACCTCCTTGAGGCCTCCACCTCCAAATATAATCACACTGAGATTCAGATCTCAACATACAAAATTTCAGAGGACACAAATATTCAGTCTATAACACCCAACAATATCTTTTTAAAATCAATAGTCCCTTTAAGCTTCAATATGTCTTTATGGCAATCTCATTGCTAAGTACTCTATTTTCATTACCTCCTTTGATTATCCATACGAAGGAAAAGAGTTGGACTGAGGTCCAATAAATTCCCCTAGGACACCCAGCTGGTTAATTGCAGAACAAGACATGATTCCAAGTCTGCTTATATCTAAAGCCTTTACATCACTGCCATGTTACTGCCACGCTACTGCCACACTTCTACCCACCTTTCCAAGGCAATCAATTTATTGCCATATATATATTTTAGAGGCCCGGTGCACAAAAATTTCTGCACTTGGTGGGGAGAAGGGGGGTCCCTCAGCCCGGCCTGTGCCCTTTCGCAGTCTGGGACCCCTCGGGAGATAACGACCTGCTGGCTTAGGCCTGCTCCCAGGTGGCAGAGGGCAGGCCCAATCCCTAGGTGCAGCCCCTGGTTGGGCTCAGAGCAGGGCAGATTGGGGAGTTGGGGCGCCGCCCCCGTCACACTCAAGGCAGGGTCGATGGGAAGGTTGTGGCGCCACCCCCTGTCACTCACCGAGCAGGGCCCATCAGGGGGGTTGGGGCTCCATACCCTGTCATGCACAGAGCAGGGTTGATCAGGGGGTTGGGGAGCTCCCCGCTGTCATGCACAGAGCAGGGTCCATCAGGGGGTTGGGGAGCTCCCCGCTGTCACGCACAGAGCAGGGCTGATAGGGGAGTTGGGGCACCGCCCCCTGTCAAACACAGAGCAGGGCGGATCAGGGGGTTGGGGCGCCGCCCTCTATCACCCACAGAGCAGGGCCGATGAGGAGGTTATGGCTCTACCCCATCACACACAGAGCAGGGCCCATGGGTGGGGGCCGGCTGGTTTGCCCTGAAGGGTGTCCTGGATCAGGGTGGGGGTCCCCACTGGGGTGCCTGGCCAGCCTGGGTGAGGGGATGATGGCTGTTTGTAGCTGGTCACACACCCTTCAGGGTGGGGGTCCCCACTGAGGTGCCTGGCCAGTCTGGGTGAGGGGCTGAGGGCTGTTTTTAGGCTGGCGGGTGACTGAAGCTCCCAATCACTCCTTTTTTTTCTTTTTCTTTTTTTTTATTCTGGACCAGCTTTAGCTCTGAGGCTTGGCTCCAGCTCTTAGGCCTCAGCTGCTGAAAGTAGGTATCTGGTTTGTTTGGGTTCTATAATCGAAACACTGTTTCAACTCCAGCTCTGAGATCCCAGCTGGCTGAAAGCAGGTTTCTGGGGTTTTGTTTAGCGTCTATATTTGTAACAATGTTTCAAACTGCAAGCTCAGAGGCCAGCAAGGCAGGCGGGGAACATTGGTTTCCTCTGTCACTGAAGCAAGCAAGCCCCATGTTTGCTTCAAGCTGCCTGGCTGCCGGCCGCCATCTTGGCTGGCAGTTAATTTGCATATCGCCCTGATCAGCCAATGGGAAGGGTAGCGGAGGTATGGCTAATTACCATGTTTCTCTTTTATTAGATAGGATATATATATATATATATATATATATATATATATGAAAAACTTATACAACTCAACAACAACAAAACAAATAGTCCAATTAAAATATAGAGAGAAAATTAAATTAAATTAAAAAGTACAGCCCAAACCAGTTTGGCTCAGTGGATATAGCATCGGCCTGCAGACTCAAGGGTCCCAGGTTTGATTCCGGTCAAGGGCATGTACCTTGGTTGTGGGCACATTCCCAGTGGGGAGTGTGCAGGAGGCAGCTGATCAATGTTTCTCTCTCATCGATGTTTCTAACTCTCTGTTCCTCTCCCTTCCTCTCTGTAAAAAATCAATAATATAGTCCAAAAAACTAAAATGGGGTGAAGACCTGAATACACACTTTTCCAAGGAAGACATACAGACAGCCAACAGATACATGAAAAAATACTTAACATCATTAGTTGTAATGGAAATGCAAATCAAAACTATAATGAGTTACCACCTCATACCTATTAGAATGACTATTGTCAATAAGACAAGGAATAACAAGTGTTGGAGAAATATGGAGTAAAGGGAACCCTTGCACAGTGCTGGTGGGAGTGTAAATTGATGCAAGCATTATGGAAAATAGTGTGGAGGTTCCTCAAAAATTAGACCTACCACATGACCCAGCAATCTCTCTTCTGGGTATCTACCTCAAAATTTGAAAACATTTATTGGTAAAGATATATGTTCATTGCAGCATTATTCACAAACAACATAAGTGTACTTTGATGAGTAATGGATAAAGAAGATGTACATATATGCAATGGAATACTACACAGCCGTTAAAAAGATGAGATACTGCCATTTGCAACAACATGGGTGATTCTTGAGAATATTATAGTAAAATAAATCTGATGGAAAAGGAGAAGAACTGCGTGATTTCCCTCACAGGTGAGCTATAAAAGAGAAAGCAACAAACAAACAAAAAACAAACTCATAGATTCAACAATATGGTAGTTTACCAGAAGGGAGTCGGGGAGGGGAAAGATGAAGAGGGTAAAGGGAATCAAATACATGGTGATGAAAGGAGGCTAGACAGGTGGTGGGCATACAGTAGTGTGTAATGCTCTTGTGTTATTACAAACTTGTACACATGACACCTATATAATGTCATTAACCGATGTTATCCCTGCAAATTTAATTTAAAAATAAGAAAGCTGTGATGCACATCTTTATATATTTGTACTCTTGTCTGATTATTGCCTCAGTGCAGTTGGTGAGTAAAAAAGTCAGGCCGTTTTTGAAGTTCCTGATTCATATGGCCAAACTGGCAACAGAAAAACATGAGTCTTTACTAGTGTATTCTATTCCCTGCCTGTTGGCCAAGAGAGTATTTTTGCCATTATGCCAACAAAGAAAAACATGACTTAAAAATATATTTTGCACTTCAGTTAATTTGTCTTGGGGTCCAGAAAAGAAGATTGAATCCAATCTACCCCATTTATTTTTTTTCTTTTTATCTTTTCTTCTTACTGTAGCCCTTTTTATTCAGGCCTAGTACTCAGGCATTCTTTTGAAGTACAGAATTTAGCATGTACTCCCACGCAAGGCAGATAAATGGGAGAACATGTAGAAAAAACAGGCTGCTTATCATTCACTTGGTGTTTACTGTGAATCCTGAACACATATTTCTCTGATGTGTCTGCATAAATCTTTAATTTTCATGCATAATCAAATTCTTAATGCTGATGAAATTCTATACTTAGAATACCTTTTTTTTAAATATACTTTATTGATTTTTTACACAGAGGAAGGGAGAGGGATAGAAAGTTAGAAACATCGATGAGAGAGAAACATCAATCAGCTGCCTCCTGCACACCCCCCAATGGGGATGTACCTGCAACCAAGGTACATGCCCTTGACCGGAATCGAACCTGGGACCCTTCAGTCCACAGGCCGACGCTCTATCCACTGAGCCAAACCGGTTAGGGCTAGAATAACTTTTCTTACCAGCATCTCAACTGTGTTCTTTCATCTTTAAGATCTTTGGGAAGGATAACCCATGGGCACAGACAATAAAGCATGAAGGCTTGGGAGGGGTGGGTACAGGGTGAAGGGGGTCAATGAGAAAAAACAAACAAACGGGACATCTGTAATACTTTCAACAATAAAGATTAATTCAAAATAAATAAAGCCCCAGCCCGTGTTGCTCAGTGGATAGAACATCAGCCTGAAGATCAAAGGGTCCTGGGTTCAATTCGGGTCAAGGGCACATGACTCGGTTGCAGGTTCCTCCCCAGCTCCCGCCCTTGTCAGGGTGTGTGCAAGAGGCAACCAATCAATGTGTTTTTCTCACATCAATATTTCTTTCTGTCTTTCCCTCTCTCTTCCACTCTCTCTAAAAATCAGTGGAAAATACTGCTATAATAAATAAAGCAGCTATACATATTTTTTAAAAATCACGTTTACTCCCAATTTTAAAAAAATTAAATAATTTGAGCGAGGGAAAATAAATAAAATAAGTAAACTTGAGAAAGCTAAGAGAGTAAAAAGACCTTTGGGAAGGGCTTAGAGAACACGAATAAACTTGATCTGCCTTGCTAGGGCAAAAGTTGGATGGGATGGACAAGGAACAGAATGATGCCTTTTCACTCCCAAAGATTTCAGAATCGCACTGTGTTCCTGGATCTGTCCCCTTTAAACCAGGTGGATAGTTTTAGTCTTGCTAGAATGTTCTTTTTGGCCCTGATGTAAAGTAGCTGACTGGAAGAGCAGCAGCAGATTAACAATTAGTTTCACTGCTGTTAACACTGTGACAGCATTCTGTCCACCACACAGGCCAAGATTGATGTTTTTCTGGAGAAGTTTTATATATATATATTTTTTTTTTCTTTTTCATATGATCGCCTTTAAAGCCCTCTCGATGTTTCACTGAATCTTAAGGCTTGTGTAGTGCCTTATAGATGTGAGTGCTCCTAGGAATTGGAGCAGTTGTCAAAAATATTATGTTTTGTGGATGTGAACTATTATAACGACGGCCAGGCTATGGTTCCCTGAAGTGCTGGGAATGGTCACAGGGACAGAGGTTCGAATGCGTGTCTGCTGGCTTGGAGCCAGTGAACACAACAGTGGAGAATAGTGAGACTTCTGAAACGCCCCATGAGGTCACGGCAGAAATGGCCACCCTTGCCATGCCTTCCTGGAATAGGGACTAAACATCCTGGAGCAGTAAAACCAAAGTGGAGACAGACTGGTCTGTCCAGAAACAACATCGTTCCTCCTGGAGACACTCTCACACAGCCAGTCTGGAACTGTGGTTCCTCGCATACGGAAACTGGGACTGAGGAGGTGATTTTAAAGGCATTGGCAACTATAAAATACTCTACTCTTA